GTATCTGCTACATCTTGTAAGCTGGGAGGCAATGCAGCTTTTGAGGTCAACCACACAATGCGTCACCCTTTCGAAGGCATCTACTACTGCCATCCTCCTCATGAATACCCCTGTGGCTTCTCCCATGCTCTGTGGCCTATCACATCTCATGTATCTGCTCAGCACACTGTCGTAGTCATCTGACTACTGGTGTCTAACTTGCGTGCCAGATTGAGTGGAAAAGGAGGGTGAAAGGGAGTATTGGGTATGTATGGAAAATCCAGCTTGGCTACAGGGCCAATCCAGACGAGAGCTAATGGTTCCAGTCTTACAGTCAGTGCCTGAGATGAGACCAGCTTGCCTGTTGCTGCCTCCGGCTGAGTTCTGAAAAACTGAAACACTTCTGCTACTTCCCAGAGTGAAAGTAGGGGAGCCACACCATTTTCTCATTAAAAAAACCTCAACACCACCCTCCCAACCCTCTTCTTTTCTTTAAATATAGTGCCTTCTATACATTAGAACAGGACTTCCAAATTTGGCAGGAGATGATCTTTGTCCCAGAGAAAACAGCTGAGTTTACGGCAAAGACGTGTGTTTTCCAGCCATCCTAAATAAATACCTTTTGATCCCAATTGGCCAGTATTTCTTGTGCTGCTTTAAAGATGTGGTTTAGATCTTCTGTGTATTTTAAATGTATATTATATATAGCCTGTATCTTCACATTTAGATTGGGCTTTACAAGCTCAGCTATTCTAGAACACTATTTGAATCTATTTTTTCTCACCACCATCCGATGCTCTTCTATCAGCTGGCTGTCCAGGCACTAGGTGTTTCTGGGAGGCACTTCCATTAGACTACTGAAAACGCAGTGTAGCAATTGCGTTAAATTGTCCAGTAGTTTTAAAATAAGAAATAGAATAATTTTAAGGTTAAATTGCCTACTGCCTACTGTAATTTTTCTGTAGGTTACATCAACTTGAGCTACATTGTGCTGGAGGCCTTCCAGCACCTGTAAACAAAGAACTTTTAAACACCTTCTAAAGGTAGGCTGCAAAGCTGCAAAGGCAATGAAGACAAGATTGTGTAGATAAGTAGCATGGAGTTTGAAAAACAAAACTCTGGGGTCACATCCTACAGAGTAGTCTAACACTTCTCGAAATCCTCTGGCACTTCTTGCATTGCTAACGTATCCCAGAATGTACCAGGGTGATACCACAACCACCCTGAGACTCCACTGCTTGCCTTTGCCACTATCAAAGCAGCCGTGTTTGGGCTGAAGTGCCTTGGAGGGACAGAAGGAGCACAGCAAACAAGATCACACAGTTCAGCTCTGTTTCCCAAGATGTGGCACAAGGCTGGGGGAAGGACAGTCACACAACGGCCTGGCAGCATGCTCAGAGGCACCAAGCAATACGACTCTTCTCCCACCCCTTCAGCTGTGCGAGCACACCTCCAGCACCTCGTGCGTCCTGTGCATCAAGCCAAGCAAGCCATCAGCGTGCTGTCTTTGTCCTGGGGCATATCTAATTAAAACGGTAACTGTGATGCTGCATATTTCTGGTGGCCAGAACACCAAGAAAAGGTGAGATGATTACTGACACTGAGTAAGCAGATGAGTTACCTAAGCATAAAATATACTTAACAGCTACAGCAGCTCTAGATTGAGAGACACATCAACTACATTTGGGGTTCATTGCAATGGATGCCTAGAAGCCATTTGTCCTTTGGACTCATCATAGCATCTTGTCCTCTCTGGAAAGCTGGGACATCCAGGTCAGCTGGGAGTTAGAGCCATTAAGGAGGGACATACTTTATGATCCTTCCTTACTTCTGGTCCATTGCTTGCATTTCTTACTGCAATTTTGTACTTTTAATCTTTTCTCTGCAACAGTGAGAATAGAAATGTACTTTTGGAAAAAAAAAAAAAAAAGAAAAAAAAAGTACTTTCCAAAAAAGCCCTGAAATTCTAATTTGCTCATTCCCTGGATCTGCACTGTAAGTAAATCATATTATAGAATTATAATATGAGGCACATATAAATCAAAACAATTGCCTACATTGGTGTAAACATGGAAGTGAAAGACTGTGTGAGCATGACAGCTAACTAAGTTTGCTTTCCAATAGGCTTGTCTCATGACAAATGAGGTTTTAAACTCAATTATAGAAGACTGCAGCAGAAGGTCACCCTTAATAGAAACTGGGGACACATTATGAATGTCCCGTTTCAGGAACAGCTGTAATCAGAGCTTTCTCCTTTTTAATTTTCAGAAAAGGAAAAACATACCAGAAAAAAAATAAAAATCAAACAGAACTTAAACTAGAGTGGATCCTCTGGTGTCTAATTTGAGTTCATTTCACATTGTATTTTTCTTCTTCATGAGAACATTAATAAGGATCCTTCTGCTCTAGTGACATGTGAAGAATTCAATGTGAAAGACCACTGTCCACCTAATAAGTTTCAAAACCTCAATCAAATTTACAAGGAAGATATTGGGACTGACAGACAGACAGATTTATTAACATATTGACGCAGACACAGTGAAAATGCAGGCTTCCCTTCCTAAGGAAACTAGCTAAAGATGTGAAAATAGAAGGATACATACCAAAATCTCACCCACAGTCACTTCAATTTTGCACATCTTCCCTTCCCTTCTTTCTGATCTATATTTTTTCTGTGCAGATGGTAAACTCTTGCAAACTCTTCAGGACAGAGATACTATCTAAACACAGAAGGAAAATGTGCTGAGTGATGCCTCTGCCTTTATTGAAGATCTTTAGCTGTGAATGCTGCTAAAGTTGCATTCCTCAGTTAATATTAAACTTGTAACATAGCTGCAGCTAACATGGGATCCTGGGTTCTTCAGCAGAGAAAATTCCCATTAGTCATTAAAAATTTAGTTCAAATAATCAATACAGGATTTGACTGTTATCTATTATTAATCCTTTTTTCAAGCTAAAGTAATTATGAGATAAAAAAGTTCTGTTCTTGAAGAAAAAGAAAAAAGAAAAAAAGAATAGTCCCCAGTGTTTTCAGAAAGGATGGATTTTATTTTGTAATTGCCTTTTTGCAGAAAATCATTGGAGGACTACGCAGGAAAAATACTTGTTATTTTTAAGCAGACTAAGTTGATGTATGTTTTATTTACTTTCAACAGAAATATTTCTACTGAAATTCCAGATAGAACAAACCACTCTGGAAGGCTAGAATCATAATTAGCTGAAAACAAATAGTGTCACCATATTATTTTGCTTTCCATTTGTACTTACCCAGTTACTATACATGTTTTTAACTTGCAGTCTGATACATAAAGACATATGTTATGCAAAAGCACGCACACTACAAAAAGGCAGGTAAAGCTCTGACTATTTCCACTGCATTAGCATGTGCAAGTTGCACACAAGGCATCAGGAGATGACATTTTACTGGGGTGATGAGTGGCTTCCACCTTTAACTCTGTTCTGTTCATTTACGGATCTGTGCACATCGGTGTTCTCCTGCATCAGCTGAAACCCATTCGTTTCAAACATATTTTCTTTTGTTAGGTAAAGTTTGGATGCATTGTATTCCAGGGAGCTGCCTTTTTGCTTATTTAAATTTGTAGCTTTACAGGGTCTTAGTTCCCTTGGGTGCAGTTTACTCTTAAGTACTGCGTTCAGGAGGCAAAAAGATCTCGAAGTGGACATAAATTATATTTGGCTGAATACAAGACTCAATCGATATACTTTAAATATTTGAATACTTCCTGAAATCCTGCTGGCACATCTGGGTTTGCTAAACAGACGCTGGGGGGAAGTTGAGGAATTAACCATAATCTCGGGAGACCAATGTGCTGGGGCTCCATCTAGAGTCAGTGGAGAGAAACTGGCTCCAAAATTAGCCGCCTTGCAGAGTTTGCATTTCTCTGTTGGCTGCAAAGATGCTTAGGGAGATCAGCCTTGCTATTCTGGAGTTAACCTTTCTGAATGTTTCCTAAGAAAAATAAAAATTGGCTGTTATTTTAATGTTTAACCTCCATCTTAGAGCTCTCGACTCCAAAAGGGCATGGTGCATTAGTCCAGAACGGATCAAAGATGCGTACATTTTGAAGCATAGACTATGCTTTAAATCCTTCCACAGCAGAGCTGGGTTTGCCCACAGGCTGTTAACTACTGGTAAATTCATCATAGCAAGATGAGCCCTTGTACCATCACATTGAAACCGATTGTTTAAGTCTGTGCTTCCTGTTTACCCAGATCCCCTCCATTTCCCAAACAAACCCCAATACAATAGCTGAACTATGTCAGTATGTGGCATGTTTTTTAAGAGCACAAAAAAAAAAAAAAAATTGGTTTTGATGATTATCAGGAGTCAATCCCTTTTATCAAAATGGTAAACTGTCTGGAAGAAATAGTCTAGAAAGGATGAATCTTACCTCTTAAAACTTCATAAAAGTGCTGTTTGCAAGGCTTCTCTAGTGTCCCACTGGGAGTGTGGCCACTGCCAGCAATGCACCAGCTGAGGCTTTGTCTAGCCAAGCCTTGAAAACATCCAAGGGCAGAGGTACTAAGCACAGTCCTAGTGTTGCTCTGCTGTTTCCACACCTCTAACAGAAAATGCTTCTGTTGGTTCACTTGTGCTTCGTAATGCTTTTCCATCTCAAGCAAGTCCTATATGCTGGAATAACTTTGAGTGAAAACATTGTACAGTTATACAAAATACCATACCTGAAAAGCAACTAGAGATGACCTACCAGTTATTAAGGACTAACTTTGTCACCTTTTTGCTTTTGCTCCAACCTCCACTGGGATTCTGATTTATTCTGGCACACAGCATGATGTCTGCAGGGCTTCCCCTGGTCCCTGGTGGAGACAATGAAAGTCTTCCCACTGCATCTGCTCACTTTTGGGTTTGGGTTTGTTTTGCTTCTGGAACTACAATGTTGATTGTCATTGCTGACCCAAGACCAATAGTCCCAGGTTGTTAAAGCAATCAATCCAACAACTCAGCTTCTTAAATCTTATCTTTTTTCACATTTTCCTAGGTTGGAAAAATCCACAAGAATGCTGCCCGCAAAAGAGAATACCACGTACTGTTCATGGTGATCACTACAGTTATCTGTTATCTCGTGTGTTGGATTCCCTATGGAGTTATAGCATTACTTGCAACATTTGGTAAGCCAGGTGTGGTGACTCCAGTTGCAAGCATCATACCTTCAATCCTAGCAAAAAGCAGCACTGTTTGCAATCCAATTATCTACATACTTATGAATAAGCAGGTAAGATATATATTACTTTTGCATCTTATTTTCTTCAGGGTCTGTCAGACATTCTTGACCACTGTGACTATCAGTCCTATAGATGTGTCTTTGGGAGAAGGGCAATTGAGGCTTGTCCAAACAATATCACTGGAGTCTTGGGGTGGAAGTGTTTGCAGTAACATAATATATTGCTAGATGATAGGATGAACACGTTTGCTTACTGAAATTGCTTGTGTTGTTCTGAGGCCACACTGGGTGTTAATTTGTATGCTGCAGAGTTGCCGAAGGTATTGGCATCTATTTACAAGAAGAATACTCAAACATTCGGGGGGTGGGGTGAGAAAAGAGGGACAAAAGTAGGAAGGGATTTCATGAACTTGAAAACAATATAAAGGAGGAGACCATTTGCAAATATTATTTTCATGACAGATCCCCTTGAAAACAAATGGTCATTGCAATTACAGTGTTTGTGGACTTCTACATTCTCCCTTTTAAATTGCCAGTTCAGCTACATGCCAAAATGGATAATGAATTTTGTCTTATGAGGACCAAGGCCAATTCTAACATTTCTAAAATGCCTAGATCCAGTTCAGATCCCTTGTTGCTGTAAATAGTATTTTCAGTACACAAAAGTAAACTTTCTAATGTGTCTGTGTTGACAGCTCTGACTCTAAAGTTTAATAATGGCAGATCTGGAAGTTTTAAAAGTGTTTTGTGGTAAGAAATTTGGAAAATATGCATAGTTTATCTTTTTTATTACATTATGTGTTAGAGTAATTTCCTGTCTTCATTATGTCCATTACTCTATTATAAAGCAAATAAACCCCCTTTATCCTTTCTTGCTCAGTGTATGATGGAGCCTACCCTAGTATTTATCAACAGCAGCATTATATTATTATGGACCCTACACAAGAGGAAAGTTGAATGTAACAACCAAATGTATTCCTATTTTGCTACAGCCTGAGATCATTCTTGGTCTGGTTCATCTAACCTGAAGTTCTTAAACAAGGAATGAATCTACTCCTGGTGTTTGAGGGAAAGCTCTCATGCAAGCCATGAAACCTTGCTGAAATCAGAAGGAAAAAATATTATTGCCTTCCCCAAGACCAAGACTTAATTTCCAAAATCTAGTTTGAGCTGCTGTTGAAAAAGATAGAGAGCTCCATTTGAGATGCTAATGCTGAAGCAAAATAGTAACATTTTCTCCTTTCCCTTACATTTTACAATTCTTATGGAAACTTCTCAACAGCAGCATCTGCCTTGCTTCTTTATTCTCTGAGCACTTTGACTGAGGTCCTTGACTTCCACGAGATCATCTGACAGTGCTGTGATCACTGGAGAAGGCTGTAATAGAGAACACATATACATTTTGGCATTGTCTTTTCACATGGAGCACATCCCAAATAGCAAAAGTATGGAAGCTGGGGGAAACATATGGGTTCTAAAACACTAACTCAGTACAGAGCCTTGGGTACCTCCATATGTCTCAAGAACAGAATCACATGTACAGTTATCTGTGGTGACAACCTGGCATCAACAGATATACACACAATTAAGGCTGTTTTTATATTCTCAAAGTGCTCCAAGCAGTTATTGAGAACTGTGTAGTCTGCAGCATCAAAGGCTTATTAGACAGTCATGCTGCTGTGGGTGTGCTGAGGCAAAAAGCGAAGGCTCACTCTTGAGAAAAAGTTGATTAGCAAGAATAAAACCAGGGTGCTTGCACATCAGAGGAATGTAGCAGGCTGTCTA